GTTACCGCTCACAAATATAATTATAAAATATAAACAAAAACGATAAAATAGAAATAAATACATCAAAACTCTTTGTAGTGTCAGTATAGTTATGGTTATTGCATGAAATGATGAAACAAAATGAAAACAATTAGTTTTAAAAGAATCTTTAGTTTGTCAGTGTTCATCGACACAATAAAAACTCCCCTCCGTTACCGCAGTAAATTTAGTTTTTAGGACGTAAATAATAATAATTTTTAATAATCTTTAAAACATTGTTTTATTTAAAAACAAAGAAAACAAATGCTGTCATTAATTTATTTATAATGTTTATTTTTTTATATTAGAATCAGAACATTTTGAAGCTGTATAATGGAAGAAAACTCCCCTCCGTTACCCATGGTATATTTCCATTACACAGCACGTAAATTACAGACTTTATTAATCATCGGATTTGCCTGAAAATCGTTACTTGGGGGTTTTTAGAGTTGCTGATTACGAATATGATAATAATTTTTGAAAATTCAAAATGGCGGATCCAACATGGCGGACAATTTTTTAAAACATTCATCGGATTTGCTTGAAACTCGTTACTCAGGGGTTTTCGGGGTTGCTGATTACGAATCTCATGTCAGTTTTTGAAAATTCAAAATGGCGGATCCAATATGGCCGACATTTTTTTTCAAAACTGCTCAGATTTGCATAAAATTTGTTACTTGGTGGTTTTCGGGGTCGCTGATTACGAATCTGTTATTAGTTTTTAAAAATTCAAAATGGCGGATCCAACATGGCGGACATTTTTTGAAAAATTCATCGGATTTGCTTGAAACTTGTTATTAGGGGGTTTTCGGGGTCGCTGATTACGAATTTTGGGTCAGTTTTAAAAAATTTTAAATGGCGGATCCAATATGGCGGATAATTTGAAGATTGATGCTATTCGATAGAAATTCGTTCCTCAGGGGTTTTTGGGGTCGCTGAATTCGAATTTGATGTTTGTTTTTGAAAATTGCAAATGGCTGATCTAGTATGAATAATTAATTAGATTGGCTTAAAACTTGTCGCTCTGGGGATTTCGGGATTTTGAATTTTCAAAAACTGACATCGGATTCGTAATCAGCAACCCCGAAAACTCCCGAATAACGAGTTTCAAGCATACCCGAAGAATTTTTGAAAAAAGTGTCCACCATATTGGATCCGCCATTTTCAATTTTCAAAAACTATCTTGAAATTCATAATCAGCGACCCCGAAAACCCCCGAGTAACGAGTTTCAAGCAAATCCGTTAAATTTTTGAAGAAAGTGTCTGCCATATTGGATCCACCATTTTGGATTTTGAGAAACTGACATCGGATTCGTAATCGGCGACCCCTAAAACCCCTGAGTAACGAGTTTTAATTAATTTTCATCAATTTTGAAACCAATTTAGCTGCGAGAAATTTTCAACAAAAATTCTGATTAAAAAACATTAATTTTTAATAATAATGTTGATAAAGATTGTAACCACGTATTTTATAGGCTTATTAGGATCCCCCTTTTGCCAAAGGACTAATAATAAAAGTGAATTTTCAACTTTTTTTAAAATGAAATTTCAATTCTGAATTTGTTCATTTCTAGAGATTGACCCATGTAGTGTATTGTAGAATATAACGTTTAGATACTGAACTTGACAATCTAATATATTGAAATTTAATATCTGTGCGTTGCGCAAGCGCAACGTCTAAGGCACCTACAGCAGCCTACAATAAAGAAAAAGTGAGGTTATATTATCACCCTGTTTTCATGTGCGAGCATCAAAATGGAAAAACTTACGTCGTAACTGCCAGCGAAAATTAATATTTTTTAAGTTTATTAACAAAATTAAACAAAATTACAATAATTTTGCAAGTGGGAGTAATTTGAGTTTCATTAGTTCACCGGGGCCACTAGAATTGGCGCCACCTCCTTGACCACTGACACATAGACCCAACTTGTATGTGGTTTTTCCCACATGCCCATAATAAATCTAAAAAAACTTGTTATAATATTCTTTAGTAGTAATGTCGCGAGTATATAATTCACATTTCTATATGACATACGAATTAATAAATATTGACTACAATTTCATGTGTTTTTTTAGAATTTTTCTTGCAATGACTGGAAAAAATAATAATTTTTTCCGCAGTCTCATCAAGAAAAATAACCGGAAAAAGATCAGGATTTTTGTTTTAAATTAGGACCCTGATTATTTATAAAAATTAAAAAATTGATATAATTCTATTATTATTATTATCATTTATAAATATTAATTAACAAATTATGTATTATATCTGTAATTATATTATAGAATAAATTAATAATTATTAATGCACTAATAATGTAATTATTTGGTAATAATGAATAGTAAATTATATGCACTGTTTGTCGAATTTTGAAATTTTAGGAATTTGATTATATGTTTAAGAATTTCTGTCAAGTTTTGAGCTCTACTTCGTGGTTTTCAGAAACCAAATGTTATTTTACCGCAAGATTTAAAAATAAGGTACATTTAACCTATAATTTGAAATGACGTTTGCGTATATCTTTAGATAGTAAAATTAAATATCCAAGATACTTGTCTTACAGTTCACTTTCATAGATATTGAATTTTAACATCCTGGATATTATAGGTTAATATATTCTGTCCAATATATTTAGATAGTGAAATTAAATATCCAAGATACTTGTCTTATAGTTCACTTTCATAGATATTGAATGGTAATATCTAGATAGTAAGCCTTAATATCCATTTTTCTCAGTGTGTATTGTAGATACCTGTTTCTTTAATCAAACGACAAATTGGAATTATTTCTTGATAGATAAAAAAAATGTTTTTTATGGTTTGAGTACAGATTTTTAATTATTGGATATTTTAAAGCAAAATATGGAAAATTCAAGGACAAAAATTGAAAATCCAGGACATTTAACCCTTTAACGCCCAAATGTGCTGTTTTCCGGCTTGAATTTTAACTTCGTACAACTATTAAAAGAAAGCTAAAAAATTTCAAAAGTACCATTTCCTACTATTTTCGGGGTCGCTTTTTCGAATGGTGTTGTCAAAATTTCCAAAAAATGAAATTAACCCCCTCTTTTAATAAAATTTTCCAAAAAATGCAAGATTTTTTGATGAAATTTTTTTTTATTGCAATTTTCATTGTTATATCGGTATCTACATATCGTCTAAGGTATAAAAACCGTATTCCCGATAGCTGTACTTTAAAAATATGCAGTAGTTTTTTTTTATTTTTTTCATTTTTTATTAAAAAATGGCGCCCGAACGCTAAATTTTTTTTTATTACACATACAAATTTTTTTTTCTAAATTTGCTTAAGTTCGGTTGAAATTTGTTACTCGGGGGTTTATGGGGTCGCTAATTTAGAATCTGATGTTAGTTTTGAAAAATTCAAAATGGCGGACGATTTTTTTAAAAATTTACTAAATTCGCCTGAAACTTGTTACTCGGGGGTTTTCAGGGTCGCTGATTACGAATATGATGTTAATTTTTAAAAATCCAAAATTTAGGATCTAATATGTCGGACAAAAAAAATATAAATCATCCGGATTGGCTTGAAAATTGTTATTTAGGCCAATTTTGGAAATTACTTATACTCAATTAATAATAATGTCAAACTTGAAACATTACTTTCATAAAACTTAGTTTAATTACTTATTGAATTTTAATTTGGGGACCTTTTTTCATCATTAAACTTTGTTTGAGGTTATTTTCTGTCACATTCCGAGCTAAGGCAAGGGTAATTTTATTAAGCGAATAACAAAAGGGAGGTAAAGTGCTGATTTGATTTTACACATTGAGGGTTAAAATAAAAAAAGTTTTATCTCGGGATGTAACATCTACCAAAACTTATTCTAAGTCCTGGTCACCTTCAGTCATTTGAATATCTGTTGCATATTAGATCCGAAATTTTGGATTTTTAAAAACTAACATCATATTCGTAATTAGCGACCCCATAAACCCCCGAGTAAAAAATTTCAAGCGAATTTAAGCAAATTTAGAAAAAAAAATTTGTATGTGTAATAAAAAAAAATTTAGCGTTCGGGCGCCATTTTTTAATGAAAAATGAAAAAAAGAAAAAAAAACTACTGCATATTTTTAAAGTACAGCTATCGGGAATACGGTTTTTATACCTTAGACGATATGTAGATACCGATATAACAATAAAAATTGCAATAAAAAAAAATTTCATCCAAAAATCTTGCATTTTTTGGAAAATTTCATTAAAAGAGGGGGTTAATTTCATTTTTTGGAAATTTTGACAACGCCATTCGAAAGAGCGACCCCGAAAATAGTAGGAAATGGTACTTTTGAAATTTTTGCAGCTTTCTTTTAATAGTTGTACGAAGTTAAAATTCAAGTCGGAAAACAGCACATTTGAGCGTTAAAGGGTTAAGGACATTTCCAGGAATTCCAGGACCAGTAGACACCCTGTGACCATACTTGGTGCTTTAAAAAAATTCTTTTTTCAGAAGCATTTTTATTTGCTTTATAACATGACATGCAATGACGTATAAAACAACTCATTTTACTATTGTTTTACTGACATTATCAACTTGGTAACGTAATAAAAAATCTATGTAAACAAAACTCTTAATATGGAGAGCATGGAGGTTATATATTTTCTCTCGTAGGGGCGCTATTATTAGGGAACGACTATACACAATGACAATTAACTCGGGGGCGAGTGCCGAAAACAGCTAATCATACAAATTCTCCTGGAAAATTTTAGTCGGTTATATTCTCTTTCTTGTTACCTTTCTCTGGGTAATATTACCTGTTCGCATCTCTAGGTTAACCTTTATGCTTTATCAGTTGACCGTTATAAACAAAAAATGCCGATTCGGTCACCTGATGGGGACTATGGGAATTACACTCAAAACCACCAGGGTGAAAATAAGTCAGCGTATTGGCAGAGAATTAATAAATCTTATGAGATATCTGAGTTTTAAAATTTTTGAAGCTTTTTAAAAAATATGTGAGAGGGTCCTTACCTTGGACATGTCTGATGGTTGTTCAGATTCAGGTAAATCTGTTGTTTCGTATACATCTACTTGATCATAAGCCTGAAAAAAATATTTTTCAATTATTTGATAAACTTAGTATAAAAAGGTTTAAATTTTCGTGAAAACAATACACCTAACAATAAGATTTATCAGTATCCGCTATTTTTGTCCAAAAAAATTGTCGGCTATTTCCTGATTGTTTTCGGTTTATTTATTTATTTTCATTAAAGGGGCATTCTGCTCGAAATGAATACACAAAACTTCTAAAGGAAAAAACTCTATTTGTAAAATGCTTGTATTTACATAAAAATGGTTTTTAGGGATAGCTAATTACGTATCAGGCAACTGTGATTACTATTTAAAGGCTAAAGGCGAATAAATAAAGTATTATCTCTAATATAGTTATATTTTTGTAGTTTAGTATTATTTAATCAAAAATGTTAAATGTAGTATAATAATTTTGCTAACTTAGCTTTGCCATCTTAAATTATTAGAATCTGACTTCGAATACTCTGTAAATGCATTTGCGCTCCACAAAAACTTTAATTTATTTTTAAATACGTCAGAAATAATGTATTCAATTTCAACGTTGCAAGTGCATAATTTTTTAATATAAACTTTATATATTGTATAATGTTTTTATTGCAAAATCAGAAAGAACACACACGTTATAATAATAAAAGATGTTAATATTAACTGAAATATATAAAATCAAAGTTCTAATAATTTTTTTGTTTATTAAAATTAAATATCTTTAAAAAAAAATGTTATTTGAAATTTGGATTCAAGACAAAAATAATCCCTTTTGAATCATTGAAATCGGTTAACAATTTTTTGGAAATTTATTTAAAAAGAAAGTTATAAAAATATTCAATCAAAAAGTAAACAATAACAAGAGTAAATTTTTTTTTTGGAAATTCCTCTTACCTAGTGATTTTTTGTATAAAATGCTACATGAAAATTAACATTTAAGAAAGAATAAACATTTTAAAGTTTCAGGTGACACGTTTTAGAAGTTCTTACACATAGAGAAAAAAAGCAGAAGGAAATGCATATTTTTAAAATTTTCTGAAAAGATCGTATTTTCGTTTTCGGATTTTTACTTTCACGGTATTAGAATGAATTAAATCATACAAGAAGATAATTGTTCCGAAATAAATATTTCTTTTGTTTCCGATTTTGATAAATATAAGGATAAAGAATAAATGTACAAAGTTTGATAATTTTTTTAATAATAATTTTCTAGTTTTTAAGGTGGTTCTGCGGCTTCTACTCTTGGAAAAATTGATTTTCTCAAAATTTTATTCAAATTTTGAGAAAATGTTTCTTCGGGTGCCCTTTGAATGTGGTTTTCTTAAATAAATTAATTTATTCTGCTGTTTTTATAAACAAAAGTTCAATTACATGACAAAATAGAAATGTTACCTATTATTTAATTCTTTGTCAGTTAATAGAAAAAAATTCGTAAAAACGGAAAATTTGTGTCAAAAATTTTGAAAGTTCTAAAAAATTATACCAGATTTCTTATAGTTTTAATGTGTCTCATAAACTGTGCTATATATTTATTGTCAATTTTGTGGTGATGAAATATACGTAGTGCGCTAACTTTTTATTTATTATTTTAAGAGAAAAGTGGAAGAAACTGAAAAACCAGGTTTCTATGGTGCTATTTTGTGCACTTAAAAAAATAAATGTTTTTTAGAAATGTGTTATTTAGTAAGTAAAGAAGATTCTGTGCAACGTTTTTATACATTTTTGTCCTACTTTGTTGTCAAAAAACTATAAACAAGTTAAGTAAAACAATTAAAACTTTAACCGATGCGCAACATAATAAGTTTTTCAAATTAATTTTAAAATTATTTTTCTCGTTTCTCTTAAAATAACTTTACAATCATATTAGAAATTAAATTGTTATTTACTTAACCTTTAAAATAATAATTTCAAGTTTTTGAAAAATATCGTTCGAACCGTTTAAAAAAGTTCCTGTTGAAATAATGTTATTTTAAAGGTTTAAAATTATTTACAAGTGTTTAAATGATAATTTTATAATTATATTAATAATATACCTAACATTATAATATATTAAAAAAAGTTAAAAATGTTATTCAATATCTCTGTGATATATAATTTAAAGAAAAGTTACTAATTGTTAGTAAATCTAGATTTTAGTATAATCTAAGTGTTTTATTTTACATTTTGTTGTAGGTATAATATCTACAAAAAAATATTTTACCAGCCCTAACTTTCTTTAATATATACTCGATGTAAAAAAATAGTCCATCCTGGGGGCTATTTTGTACACGACTTTAAATGACTACAACTCAGACAAAAAATTTTTTTCATTGCCCAAGTCATATTAGCACACCTTTAGAACTATGTCCCCACATGCACATATCAATAGTGGATTTTCTTTTAATTCTGAATTTTAATAGAACTTTGAGTCAAAAAATAGCTATTTCGTGCACAAAATAGCCCCGGTTGGTGATACTTGAAATTAATCAAAAGCAACAATTTTAAACAAACTATCTAAATTTTCAATAATAAAATCGACAATTTCACTCAATATGTGTTCCTGTAAATTTAATTTTTCCTAAAATCTAACTTACAATTCCTGGAAGATTTGCATATTTAGGGTCAGCCATTGTTATTGATGATTATATAAATAAACAGATTGAGAGTACTAATGTTTACACAAAACCTGCAAATGAACTTGAAATATTCTTTATTTTACAAAAATTTATAAACAAAACATAGCAGACATAGATATTTGACAAGTGTTCAATCATGGACGTAAAGCTTACTAGATGCGTTTCTAATAGAAACATAAAGCCCTGAGCAAAATGAAATTTTGAACGTAATCTTAAAGGCACAGTCACAACTCGACTGCCTACGTGGCATGACGGACAACGCAAGGGTGACGCATGCATGAGGTTGAGTCCACAATAGCACTCTTGAACGTTTACGTTACGTTCAAGAGTGCTATTGTGGACTCAACTTCAGGTTGCAGTCCCATGGCAGTGTTTTGCGTTGCGTTTTTTAACTAGAAATAGAGACGTTGGCTATATTTGCACTCATGGCCTAGTTACAAAACGCAAAGCAAAACGGTGACGGCATCTCAAAATATAATTTAACTTGGCGATTCATGTATTGATGCTGCATCTACATGGCAAAGGTAACGCAATACGTTTTGCGGTTTGCGTTGCGTCTCGCGTTATCTTTAGGGTGGAGTCACATGGCACCGTTTTGCGTTGCGACTCGCGTTGTCTTTAGGGTGGAGTCACATGGCACCGTTTTGCGTTGCGTTAAGTAACTAGGCCATGAGTGTGAGAGAGATGGAGATGTATGTTCGCTATATTTTCACTCATGGCCTTGTTACAAAACGCAATGCAAAACGGTGCCATGTGACTACACCCTGAAGGCGATTTTGACTTTTTCGGTAAATTTTTTTATACTGATAGGCGTATAAATGCACCCTAACAGTGCATCTTGTTCGTGTCGATGGAAAAAAAGTTGTTGTAGAAAGCCCCAGAGACAGTCATATCAATGAGAGTATGTTTACACCTTCGGTAAAAATTTCCAGAACGAGAAAATTTTCTTTGGTGTAAGAGATACAGATATACAGTCTGTCTCTTTTACTCCAATGTAAATTCCCAGTTCTGGAAATTTTTACCGAAGGTGTAAACGCTCCATGAGGCGGTGTTTACATGCTTCCGTTCGAATGCTTCATTTTGCGTTGAATAATGAGATAGAGAAAGAAAGACAAATACTTCTGTCCTTCTTACACTCACTGCTCAACGCAAAACGCAGCGTTTGAACGCAAGCATTTAAACACAGCCTGAGGCTGGAGTCCCATGGGACCGTTTCGCGTTGCGTTTTGTAACTAGGCCATGAGTGCAAATATAGCAACATATATCTCCATCTCTCTCACACTCATGGCCTAGTTACAAAACGCAACGCAAAACGGTGTCATGGGACTCCAGCCTGAGGGTGGAGTCCCATGACAGCGTTTTGCGTTGCGTCGTAATGGGAGAGAAAAAGACGCAAATATACGTTTGCTGCATTCTCTCTCATTACAACGCAACGCAAAACGCTGCCATGGGACTGCGGCCTGAGGTGTGTAAATACACCTTCAGGGAGCGTTCATACCTTCTCATGCAAAACTTATGCATGCAGGTTGCCATAGTAGCGTTCAAGAGTGAGAGAGATAGAATAATTTCCTATCTCTCTCACTCTTGAACGCTACCATGGCAACCTGCATGCATAAGTTTTGCATGAGATCGTGTGACTGTACCCTCAAGCTGTGTTCACGGTTGCTCTAATCCGCTGTGGCCTTGAAAAGATCATTATTGTAGAAAGCCCGTGATGACTGTAGTAGCAGTATGCACAAACACTCCTATTGGCTGTTTTCGGCACTTACTGCTAGTAAAATAATACCCAATCGGCACAAACATTTGCTCACATTCCGTTAGATCAGCCAATGATATTCTACCGGCTGTATACTGCCGGCAAGTGCCAAAAGCAGCCATTGTGGACTCAACTTGCAAAGTCGAAAGCATGCATGCATGACGACTATGACGAGGTGTGGTCGCTCCAGAGAAGCATGAATAGAAAAGGGCAGAAATACCTGTCTGTCCTTACCTGTCTCGTGCTTGGCATCACCAAATGAGTTTTATGGTGCTTAGACCAATAGAGTGATCGCGATCCCAAAGTTCAGTCGAGTTCAGCTCAGTGGTTACATGGTTATCTCCTGTTATCCCACTGAGCACTGACATGTAGACAAGCGACATTTTTCTTTGAACTACGTGCATTTTAATGTAATTAAAATTGTTGCAGTTTATATTGCTAATGTATATATTAAAAAGAAGGAATATGTGTTCATCAACTTCTTGTTTTTACTTTTGCCAGTGAAAAATGTGCATAGATCATGTAACAGTATTCTGTTGGAGAATTATAAAAGGAATTACGTTTATTTGTGAAAAGACGTGTTTATAGTGCAATCATTATGTTTCGTTGCATTCCGATTTTTAAAGGGTGTAACAGGCAGGTGGAATATGTTGACAAACGTCACTGCTCTCTACCAACTGTTCCTGATGACATTCTCAGATACACACAAAGCCTAGAAGAACTTCTTCTAGATGCAAATCACATTCGTGACTTACCTAAGGTTCGCATACAATTCTTTTATTCTATTTCAAAACCATTTTCAACTCGCTCAATTACTTTCACAGCAAAAATTCCACTCGTATATTCTTATTTATTTTACCAAATGCAAGTGTCCTTCTCTATTATTCGCCTTGAACAAGTGTCTTACATTTCTTTTATTTCTATTTTACACTAAATATTCGGCAGTTTATTCATTTATATTACTTAATATCACAGACACACTTTTTTACCTTTTTTCACCAATTTCCTTTAATTTCACATAAATTACCTATTTCCTAAATTTTTCAAATATATTCTGACAAAAGTTTAGTTTTTAAATTAATATTTTAATGAATCTTAACTTTAATCCATATAAAATTCATTCATTAATAAATAAAGAAATACGTATTTTTTTTAAGTTTTGATTCAATTTTGTTTGCACTTTTTACTAATATTTTATGTTTTTAGCAAAAATATAAGCAAAATGACCTTTTTTGTGGCTCTTGGGCTCATTTTTTTCCTTTTTTTAATACTCTTTTATGAAAAATTACACAAAAAAAATAATGAAAAACAAGGATAAAAATTCAATTTTTCGAAAAAACAACAAAAAATTGTTTCTCAAAAAGTCTATCTTTTTTCTCTTCAAATTTTCAGAATTTATTTGTACTCATTTGTACTATTTACCATTAAAATATTATTTAACTATTTTTTTGTTTATTAGAAAAAAAAATTATTTTCAATTTTTTATTAAAAATTTCGCAATTTTTGAAGTTTCTACACTTGAACATTCGCTTATTTTTTAATTTTTAACATCAGTGTGAAAAATCTTGTCAAAGTTGTAGAATAAGATAATTAAAATGATTATTTAACTTGTATTTTAGAAAAAAAACAAATTGTTTCCAAAAGAAACTTTTTTTGTCTTTTTTTCAACTTGTATGCAATACTTTAATTTATTATTTTTTTGGGGGTTTTTTAAAACAATTATTTTCAATTTACAAAAACAAATTATTTTTAAATAAACGATGTTAATTAAACGTATCAAAACAACAGTCTTTTAATCATAAGATTTGCAGAAGTACAAAGTAACTAATTTTTTTATAAATTACCTTATTACCTTTAATTACTTTATTATCGTTGCCTGTTTTAATCGATTAATTAAAAGAATATTTCAACTATGAGTAGAAATTTTATTCTCTTTTATAGATATTGCCCTTGGAATAAATGAATATTTAATAAAATAATTCTTATGAACTAAAGGAATTGTAATGTTATTAAAAAGGAAAATTTTTTAAAGAACCTAAAAAAATAACAAAAATAATTGTATGTATAAATTACTATTTATCAAAAAAATAAGTAGAAGAATTTTTTCTTTTTGCCTTTTTTAAAACATTGTTTTTTGTTTTTTTTAAGTTAGATATTATTGTTAATTATCTATATTCTTTATATACTTTTGACAAGGTTTTTTAAAATGATGTTAAAAATTAAAAAATAAGCGAAGGTACAAGTATGAAACCTGAAAAGTTGTGAAATTTTAGAATTTTTAGTAAAAACTTGAAAATAATTTTTTTCTCTTAATAAACAAAAAAACACCAAATGATATTTTTATCTTAAATAGTACACATGAGTACCAATAAATCCTGAAAATTTAGAAAGAGAAAGAAGATGGTCTTTTCGAGGAAAAAAATTTTGTTTTCAAAAATTAATTTTTATCCTTGATTTTTACTATTTTTTTATTTTGCGTAATTTTTCATAAAAGAGTATAAAAAAGAAAAAAAAATTATCCCAAGAGCAACAAAAAGAGTTTTAAATTTAAAAGTGATTTATGGTACTCAACCTTTATTTGGTTGATTTTAATACCTAAAAACGATTTTGATTCGAAATTTTTTGGTTTTAATTTGACAATTTTTTCTTACAAAATTAAAAACTAAATATATTTTCAGTTATAACAAGAAAATATAGTTTAAAACATTTTTCAAATTTTTTTTTAGTCAGACTTGTTCTTAAAATTTTATGAATTTCACAATCCCAGAGTTCTGATTTTTGGAGTTCATTGAAAATGCTATGAATTTTAATTCAACCTTGAATTCTCTTTTTTTACTTAAAAACTATTAAAAAATCATAAAGTTTTGCAATTTTCATTAAAAAAAATTGAATTTTTGTATTTAAATAATTAAATCATTGTTTTTGAAAATTATTAAAAATGATTAATTTAGAGAAGAATTTCATTTAAAAATTGCAGAATTAAATTTGAAAAAGTTATAGGAAAAAATTTTTGAAATAATTAAATTTCAAAAGGTTTTAAAGTAAAATTTCTAAAAATTAGTATTATTATGAAAATTTTTTTAAATAATCTTGTTTTTTGAAAAATATATAAAAATATAAAAAAATGATTTGAAACTAATTTTTATTGGTATATGGAAAAAAGTGAAACATTTTTTCGAAATTCAGGGAAACAGAAATTCAATTTTTGTAATACCTATATGAAAAATATGACTTTCTTGTATTTTAAATCAAATAAAATTACTGTTTTGTTCCTTACAGTCGATATGTACCTTGTTATAAATATTTTCAAAAATTATTTACTTGAATAGAAATCAAAATTATAATTTTATAATTAAAATAATTTTAAAAAATATAATTACTTTATAATTTTAATTTTAATAAAAAATTTTTAATTTTCAACTTGAAAGAAGAAAATAAAATTAATGATAGTCTCAATAAATGCAGATAACTTATTTTGCATATATAACTTTATTTTATGTAATTTTTTTTGTTACCTTATTGTCACGTATGTTTTGAAAATAATTCAACTTTTTACGTATTCCTATTTCCTAAGAAAAAAGTGTTACCTGTTATTATATTATATTGTTTTATTATTTTCTTATTCATTGAATTATTAATACATTTTATTATATAATTTATTATATATTTTTATTACATTATTTCTGTATTATGTGCATGGTGAAAGAACTTTTTGCATTATGTCTGACTAGCGCATCATTTATATTCGATCGCGGATGAGAATAATTAAACCGACCCTCCTATGAAATAACTAGAATTTTCCGTTTATGATGAAGTATCTATTTCTCGTTTTTGCTTTTAAAAATTACCTTTTAGATTTGATAAAAAATACTGATTTTTTATCAAATACTTTTCCGCAAAATTTACTTTAAGATGAGGTTATTATTACTTTTTTTATTTTTAATTCTTATACTTAACTTTACATCGGTAAAATTTTGAATATTTACAAATTTATTTTGATGCTTATTGGTTTTTATGTTAATAACTGTAAAAAGGAATGTAAATACATTTTTTAAGGAGAGTATTTTAAGGTTTGCATGAGACACGCATCGAGCCTTAGAAGCAAATCATTTTAAGATTTTGTTTTTGTTATTCTTATCTTAATTAAATGATTCTGTTTTATTATATAAAACTAAAATCAGTTTTTAATTATTATTTTAGTAGTAAAGTACTTATACGTAGATATTAGTGGTTTATATTAAAAGTTGATTCCTTTTCTGCATTTTCATTCAAAAATTTAAAAGTATAACCTTAAATTTTTTGCTTCTATAAGGTATCTTTCTTCGGAGCGCTGTTACGTACACTGTATAAAAAGTCTCAAAGGAACAGTGTTAATATTAATATTATTCTACAGTATTAAACTGGTCACGTTTGTACTATATTAAAAATAAGAATATTCCTCGAGTGGTAAAGGTAAAAATCACTTGACTATGTCATAAAGACTCATCTAAAAAATTACCGAACTACTTCTGCAAAATTCCTAGCTCATAAAGACGAAAAAAGTTTATTTTGTTTCCCTTTTCACCACTCACACCTTTCGTCATTAAAGGTGAACACAGATTTATATGGGGCATTCCACGCCAAATCGGAATTTATTTTGCTTTTCATCTCAAATTTTTTTTAAACATTTTTTTTCTTTTGGTACTCTTTGAAATGAGCTACCTTGATTTTTTTCAAATTTTTTCATAAAGCGGTTCAGAAGATACAGATTTTTGAAAAATGACATTTTTTACGTAATTTTTTTTTTAAATGCTTATAACTCGGTCAAAAATTGATCAAATTGGACGTTTTTATAATGAAAAGTTTTGTTTTCACGCGTAATTTTTAATAAAAATATTCTTAAAAAAATTAAAAATAATTTACGATAAGATTTAAAAATTTTTAAAATAAAATTTAATTTTTAACAATTTATGTATCGATCGGACAAGGCTTAAAAATTGTTAATTTAGTGCTAGTTTCTTACAAAAAATTTTGAAAAAAAAATTGATCAATACATACATTGTTAAAAGTGAAATTTTATTTTAAAAATTTTTAAATCTTATCGTAAATTATTTTTAAATTTTTTAAAAATATTTTCATTAAAAACTACGCGTAAAAACAAAACTTTTCATTATAAAAACGTCCAATTTAATCAATTTTTGACCGAGTTATAAGCATTTAAAAAAAAAATTTACGTAAAAAATGTCATTTTTCAAAAATCTGTATCTTCTGAACCGCTTTATGAAAAAATTTGAAAAAAATCAACTTGTCCCCTACAACTTTCAATAAAAAAGATTCTGATATTTTCGAATACAATACATGTTTTGTCCTTTTTTGAAAATTTTGTTTTTTTTTAACTTTTCGCCCCATGCTGGGGCGAAAAGTTAAATGGCTGGGGCAAAAAGTTAAATTCTATTTTTAGCCTACTAAAACTATTTTCTGATAGGTGTTAAGTAGTAGATAAGTTAAAGTATACGTAAACAAGTAATTTAGTTAATAAAAGATCTTTGTTTACTTAACAAAAGCTTTAGAATAGTTATAAAGTTAATAAATTGAAATTTCAAAAAAAAAATTTGGTTTATTTCACTGAACGGTTTTATTTTTTGACAGAGTACTTGCCTAATGTCAAATAAATCATTTTTAAACAAAAAAACCCAAAAAAACGAAAAATAAAAAAAAAATTTTAATAACATGTAAAAATACATTTAACTTTTCGCCCCAGGGTGCGTTTTTGGCTTTAACAACAAATATAAAAAATCTGACTAAAGATATTTAGCAAATACCTTTAGGTATCTCTTCAGGGGACCCAAATAATGAAGTGAAAAAATCGCGGTGAGAATAAATGCAAAAAATATACTTAAAAGTTGATATTTTCTTTTACGAAAAAATTTTCAAAAGTAGGGTGAAAAAAAAATTTTAATATGGACACCACAAAAATTAGCAGAATGTCACATAACTCCGGACATTTATTTAGGGTGATAACACCCTTCCATAATTAAAATTGCAATGCTCTAACTATTCCCGTTCGAAAGATAATGAATTTTAACGGTTTTGGCAGTTTAACTTTTCGCCCCAGTCTCCCCTACTAAAAGAAAAAAAATGTTTAAAAAAAATTTGAGATGCAAAAGCAAAATAATTTCCGATTTGGCGTGGAATGCCCCATATTTATCTTAAATATCAACATATAATTAGAATAACATACAGATGAACTAAAGCTGACATTTTAAAGTAACTTTTTATGAAGCTGAAACTGCCACCCACTTCTCAGCACCCACTTACTTCTGGAAATTAAATTTTAAAGTTAAATATTTTTTTGTTTAAGGGGTCGTACACATAATACGTCACGCTAACAGGGGGAGGGGGGTCAAGACATTTGTGACGACCTATAGAAAAAATGGCGCTAATGTATGGGGGAGTGTGTGACATGGGGAAGGGGGGGGTCTAAAATGGTCAAAAAATCGCGTGACGTATTATGTGTACGGTGCCTAAACCAATATCAAATTTTGAAAAATTAAGTGCGTGTGCTGATATCTAGGTGCAATTTACAGCTTCATAAAAAATATTTAATTCTAAGATTAAGTGGGTGCCAGTTTCTGCTTCATTAACTTTTTTCAGTTTTCAATTTTTTGTTATGTTATTACTTTTTTAAAAATAGTTACAAAAAACGAGGAATATCCCATTTTAAGCTTGAAATATATTTTTTTGGAAACAGAAAATATTTTTAATTAATGATTACTATATTGATAAGAAATAAGAAAATATGCGATAATTACCACTGAGACGCATAGGATCATCTGCAGCCAGGTTGCACACTTTTTACTTGCGATTACTGTAAAGTCAGTTGATATTGATTTAAAAATTATTCCATTCACATATTTTTAATATAAATACGTACCCAAAACAGTCCTTTACAAAAAGAATAACCAAAGAATTTTCCTAAGAATTTACGTTTTTACATTTATTACAATTCTCTATAATTTTACAATTTCTGAAAACTGTTGAAAGTTTCAATTTAATATGACTCATTTTCAACATTTATTTTATACATTTACTATTCAAATTTCAATTGATAATGAAGATAAAACTGGTATTTAAAGATATTTTCCAAAAATTACCTTCAACTTGAGCTAATTTAGTGATCAAACAAAGCGCAAAAACAAATTTTCCAGAAACTACCTTTTACCTCAAAAACTACCTACCAAAAATAAAAAGGCAGATTTTTTAAAAACTTTTTCCACAGGAATTTAAAGCTAATTTAGTACTCTAACATAGCATTAAAAAGAATTTTTCAAACATTTTTTTCAAATGTTTTCCGCAAGAATTTATAGCTAATTTAGTGCTTTAACAAAGCACTGAAAAGAATTTTCTAAAAACAACCTTCAACATGAAAATCTACCTATGGAAAATTTAAAAGCACTTTTTTTAATGCTATGTTAAAGCACTAAATTAGCTCTAAATTCCTGTGAAAGAGATTTTTAAAGATTATTACTTTTTAGAGTATGGTACTTGTAGCTATACTCCAAGCTGGCCGTACCATAAGTTTTTTAAAAGTTTTCGATTCGATTCATTTTTTTCGGGACATCTTTAAATTTTTTTGGGAAATTTGACATTGAGGATTATTTAAGAAATTTTTTAACTTTATCAGACTTAAATTAAAAGGGGAAAAGAGTCCACTCAATTAATTCCCTGTATTCTTTAACAGCCGCTGCGCGCGGTCCGGTAGCGGCTGTTATAGAATCCAGGGGCTCAAATATAGACGGTCGAGTATAGTAAAATTAAAAAAAAATTAAATTTCAAAATACTTCTAAACAATATGCATACAAAAGTCTCATTTTATTAATATATTATTCTAATTACAGAATTTCTTTCGACTCCAACGGTTACGCAAGCTAGGATTAAGTGATAATGAAATTCACCGACTTCCACCAGATATTCAGAACTTTGAGAACCTTGTAGAACTTGATGTTTCTAGAAATGGTAAGTACTTAAGTATGATGATATATTCTTAAATAACAATAAATATAAGGTAAAAATACTATTGTTTATACATGGAATACTTTTATAATACAAAATAAATATAAATCAAATTGATTGTGAAAATTGTCATTACACAATTATTAGCCAGTAGATTTTATAAAATTAATCGAGAATTCAAAGGGAGGCAGAAATATCTTTCAGTTATTGAAAACCGCCAGCATGAAAAGGATACACTTTGTCGCTATTTATTTTAGGAGATAATAGCATTTGTTGAAAAGAAGTGGTTTATTTTAATAAAATTTACATAATAATCTATTTATACAAGTAGCTAATTTTGAACAAAATATCAATCAAACAATTTGTATTATATATCTAAATTGTTTCCATGCTTTTTATTAAACTTTCATCGATGTCAAACTATGTATTTTTTTCTTGCATCATTTTTAACCTGAAAACATATAAGATGGTGAAAAATATTTAATTTCAATTTTTGAAGAGGTTAAAATTTTATTCTTTTCACCTATTGCATATTACTGCAAATCCATGCGACAAGTTGTTTACAATTGTAAAATATGCATGGAAAAAAATTGGCGTTGAATAATATTTAAAAATTTTGCCGAAATTTCGAAAGTTCTCAACCTTTAATTTTTCCAAATTTGATGCTCTGAGTCGAAGAAACATAGTTGAAATTCATAGTAAAAATTATAAAAATCATGGTTTTTTGCATTTATTTCAATATATATAAAGTATCCCAAAAAAGCTTTAGACTATGATTTTTATGGTTTTTACCATGAAAATATTACAAATCGATCTTCTGTTACAGTTTTTAATATTTTTCAACGCCAATTTTTTTCCACACATATTTTACAATTCTAAACAACTTCTCGCATGGTTTACGATAATATGCAGTAGGTGAAAAAAAAATTTCTAAACTCTTCAAAAATTGAAATAAAATATTTTTGACCATCTTATATGTTTTCAGGTTAAAAATGATGCAAGAAAAAAATATTACCTTGTTTAATAATTTCATTATCGAAGGGGCAAAATATGGGGTCTCCTCTTAAATTCAAAAAATTTTGGAAAATAATTGTCAAAAATGAATTCTACGGATATGAAACATCATTTCTAGAAATTATGAGACTTTCCTAAAAATAGGCCGTCACGACTTAGTGCAGATTTTTCAAGGGAATTTTAAAAAAATATGTTTGAATTTTAAAAATTATTTTTCTGTTAATAAGATTGTTTCAAATTTTTTGAACTTTTTTGGCCAATAAGTAATTCTTATTCTGTAGAAAATGACCTTCAAAATAAGCTTAAGATCATTAAAAATCTGTAAGCTCTTATTATTCTTTTCAAAATTTTATCATCTTTCAGAAAATAAAAATTTTAAAAATTTTAGTTTACACAAATTTTATGTTTTAAAATGTTTCCCATTCACCTGAAAATGGGTGGTCTCTGAATTTTGATCGGTACTGTAATGGTAGATTTGAACTTTAAATGTCTATAACTTTGCGAATTTTTTACCTAGAATGGTCTAAGAAATTTAATCAATAATAAAAAAGTGATTAAATGAAATTTAATCAGTAATAATACCCATGGAGTTATGTCCAATAGGGCTAAAAGTGGGCCTTTTTCAACGGATCTACACATGTAGAATCTTATACATACACGGAGAAAAATATAAAGTAACTTTTACTACTTTTATAGTAAAAAATTTCCGGTCAATCATTTCTGGTAATTTTAAATACTTTTGGAGTAAATTTTGCTATGTTCGAAGTACATATTTGTAATAATTAGTAAAATTTACTTCGAACGTAACAAAATTTACTCCAAAAGTAGTAAAAATTACCAGAAATGCTTTACCGGAAATTTTTTACTATAAAAGTAGTAAAAGTTACTTTATATTTTTCTCCGTGTATGAGGAATGAGTGTGACCCAAGAATTATCGAGAGTTCACTATATTATATTAATGAGACAAACTTTTTCAAGTGTGCCAATCTCAAAAGTAAAATTTGTACCATATGTTTTACGAAGGTTTTTTCTGCTCGAATAATAAGTATAATACATAATTAATATTGTGTTCTATACAACAATAGTAATTTTGTACTTGTAACATATTGTAATATGTTTTACGAATTTTTAAGAGGGTCATTTGGGGTAAATGTAAACAGAATATCTATTTTTTATCAAAAACGTGTTTTTTCGTGAAATGGTTACTTCACTTTCCTAGTAAAATTTTTTGGGGTACAAGAAAATATTAATGAGCCTGAAACGCAGAAAACTGACTGTTTACATTTACCTCAAGATTTTGAAGTTTTCCTAGGGGTAAATGTAAACACCACTGTAGTTAAGAAACAGTCAAGTTAACTCCTTTTCTATGTAATTTTACATTACCAAAAAAGTGTCTTTGTGAAATAGAACTTAATTCATTCAATTATATTTTTTTAAATTGCAGTTGAAGTTCTGTTTACATTTACCCCAAGTTTTCAAATTCTCGGGGTAAATGTAAACAGTTTATTATAGTTATTAACTAAATTGTCAAAATTCAAAAATTAAAATAAATTTTTATTATATTATCTATTAATTAGAAATGATTATAAATTTTGGTTCGAATTTTTAGTTGATTTTCATGCAAATGCGAGTCAAAATACTAAAACAGAGAAACTTACTTTGATTATTAATCTTCTTATATTAATTTAATCTTAAATATCAACTGTTTACATTTACCCCAGATGATCCCATACTGCACGTTAAAAATAGCATAACTTTTTTCTTCATAGAACATATTTGACTTTTAGATTTAGACTAATTCTATACTTTTTGATTTTGTTGTAGATATACCCGATATTCCTGAAAATATAAAAAATTTGCGCTCTTTGCAAGTGGCAGATTTCAGTAGTAATCCAATACCTAGGTATTTAATATATTTCTTAAACATTAAATACATCCAACTTAATAAACGCAGCACGTTAATTTATAAATTTTTTATCTACAGACTTCCTGCTGGATTTGTACAACTCAGAAATTTAACAGTGCTTGGGTTAAATGACATGTCATTGTCTGATTTACCTTCTGATTTCGGAAGGTAAAATATTTTTTTGTTTCGCATTTCAATGAAAACTTTATATATTGCTTTAACCCTGTTTATAAAATATTTTCTTTGTTTTTTAAACTGTTTTAGTCTCGACAACCTACAGTCTTTGGAACTACGGGAAAATTTGCTCAAGTCCTTACCGGAATCACTTTCTCAGCTTACTAAGTTAGAGAGATTAGATCTTGGTGATAACGACATTGAAGAACTGGTAAGTTTCAAACAAATTCTATTCACAGCTGTTTAAAATTGCCAAGTCATAAATAATTTCTATATCAAAATATTTTTTATAGTTTTAAAGTTTATAAATATTTAAAATAGATGTTCGTTTTACTGAATCTATAATGTATTATCAATTTTTATCTGAATATTAATTGACAATAATGAAACTCTTACTTTGGACTTTTTGGAGAAAACGCAAACGGAAATTAATAAATAGTTTGAGTTTTCGTTGATATATTTGTTTTTTGACACGGCGTTGACACATTGGGTCAATTTGACCGAAACTCTATTACGCCATTTAATAACCCTTCAGTGTGAACTTTTGAAATAAAATTAATAACTATACTTTACTGAAGGCGTTAAAATTTCCACCCTAATAAGTCAAATTTCTGTATATGGAATTTGCTCGAATGAGAATATTACATATTTCGTTATTAATGTAAACAAAATTATATGATTTTCGTACATTAAATTTATAAATTTGACAATTTATTGTAAATTAATTGCAGCCAGCGCATATTGGAAAATTACCAGAACTTCAGGAATTATGGTTGGATCATAATCAATTGCAACATTTACCTTCTGAAATTGGTGAACTAAAAACTCTAGTGTGCTTAGATGTTTCGGAAAATAGACTTGAGGATTTACCTGAAGAAATTAGTGGCTTGGAGTCACTAACAGATCTTCATTTATCTCAAAATGTTATTGAAAAATTACCTGATGGGTTAGGTGAATTAAAACACCTAACTATTCTGAAAATTGATCAAAATAGATTATCGGTATTAAATTCGAACATTGGAAGGTAAAAATTATTAAACAATTACATATTTAATTTCAAAAAACGATAAAAATTTGCAAAATTTAATTATATTTTTTGTTTTTAATTTCAGGTGTAAACACTTGCAAGAATTAATACTTACCGAGAACTTTTTATTGACATTGCCACTATCTATAGGAAATCTTGTAAATTTAAATAATCTTAATGTGGACAGAAATAGTCTTCAGTCAGTTCCTCGTGAAATTGGTAATTTATATTTTTAAATTTTTACATTGACGTTTAATTTTATTAAAGAAGTATCATGGAGACATTTTCCTCTTATTTTGCAGGAAATTTAAAAAAACTTGGAGTTTTATCCCTAAGAGATAATAAGTTACAGTTCCTTCCAAGTGAAGTTGGTCAGTGTGTTGCCCTTCATGTATTAGATGTATCCGGAAACAGGTTTGTTTTATATTCGTATATTTATAGTAATATTAAACTTCCATCAGTCATCTTATAGATATGATCCCAGATCATCAAACATTGTTTTCTATTTAATATTAATATTTTTTTACTCGTCTACTAAAACCTACTATTTACAACTTTTTTTACAATTCGCTCCAATTTTGATACTTTTTTTTATTTGCGACACTAAAAGCTATTTTTTCTTTTTCATTTAAAATTTGCATTACTTTAAATCTGCTATTAGTTAAAATAAAAATTATTCTACAAAATTTTAGCGAAATTCTTGTTAGAAACAATTCAAAAAATTTTAATAAAATGATTTGAAACAATTTACTTATTTTCAAAAATTTAAGAAATGTGTTCACGAGAATTCCAATTATTTTCACAAATACTAAAAATCTTTTCCGAAATTCAATTATTTTTCATATCTACTATTTTAATAAAATTTCTCAAAATATTCAATTATTTAAAAAAAAATTTTTAATAACATTCTTCGCAAAAATTCATTTAATATCATGAATAATAAAATTTTCAAAGGATTCAATTTTAAGAGTAATAATCTTTACTTATTCTATCAATTATTTATTTTTGTATTTAAGTAATTGAATTCTAATAGAACTTTCTAATAAGAATTGATTTAAAAATGAATTTTAAAAAGCTGTTATACTCAAGTTATTTAAAAATTTAATTCCCGTGGAAAAATAAATAAGAATAAGTATTTAAATATTTATTTGACAAAAATTATTCAACTACGAATAATTTAATTCAGAAATCATTCTATTTCTGACAAGAATGAATTTTTAATATTATTTAATTATTTCAAAAGTTTTAACGCATTTATCTTGATAAATATAACAAAATTCTTTACAGAAATTCAATTATTTTAAGGAAATTTAATAAAATTCTTTGGAAAATTCAATTATTTCCATAAATAACAATATTCATAAAAAAAATTCGATTATTTTAACGAATATCTCGTCAAGAATTCAATTATCTTTACAAATAGCAAAATTTTTCGCCTAAAATTCAATTGTTTTAAAAAATTTAAATAAAATTCTTTGCAAAATTTCAATTATAGTTTTTCGCAATTCAATAATTTTCAATATTTACTATTTTCATAAAATTTATCAAAAGATTTAATTATTAAAAAAATTTTAATATACAATTCTATTAAAACATTCAATTCTTTTCATAGATAATAAAATTTCATTTATAGGAATATTCAATTACTTTTATCGCAGAATTTCAAATATTTTTAATACAATTTTAAATAAATTCCTCGAAAAATGCAATTATTCTTAAAAATTTTATTAAAACTTGACGAAAGAATTGAATTTTAAGAAACATTCAATTATTTAATTTAATAAAATAATAAAATTCATTGCAATAATTCAAATATTTTCATAAATAAGTTTTTAATTCGTCACAGAAAATGAATTATTTTCAAAATTTTTTATGTAATTCTGCAAAAGAATTCAATTATCTTGATAAACAACAAAATTTTTCTCATAAAATCAATTATTTTAAGGAATTTTAATAAAATTCTTTTCCAAAACTCAATTATTCTGATAAATATCAAAATTCATCACAAGAATTCAATATTCTTTTGAAAATTAATAAAATACTTTGTAGAAATTAAATTATTTTTAACATTTTTTTTTAAATACTCATCAAGAATTAAGTTATCTTTATAAATAGATAGCGCAATTCTTCTCAAGTATTAAATTATTGTCAAAAACTTTAATAAAATTCTTGACAAAATTTCAATTATTTAAACAAAATTTAATAAAATTCTTCGCATGAATTCAATAATTTTTATAAATTATTATTTAAATTCTTCTCAGGAGTTTTATTATTTTTAAAAATTTTAATAAAATTCTTCATAAAAATTAAATTTCAAGAAACATTCAATTATTGAATAAATTATTTATTTTTGCAATTAAATAATTGAATTTTCGTAAAATTTTTCAATAAAAATTGATTTAAAAATAAATTTTGGTTAAAATTTTAAATAATAATTGAATAGGTATTATAAACATTATAGCATGAATTTTCAGAAATAATTGAATTTTGAAAAGGTTTCAAATTTAAATCTTTGAAAATCTAAATTTTTCGTACTAACAATTCTGTAGAATTAATTTTTTTTGAAAACGTTTAATTCTGTTTGGAAATCAGGAAAAGTCCGGGAAGAACAAAGTTAAATTTTTGTTGCAATCCTGTTTAATTAATTTTAATTAAATTTTTTTTAATATAGTTAAAATTTCGTTTGAGGAGCAGTAAATTGTCGGACGATTTTGCACTTATTAAGTTTTGTATTAGAATTATTTATAATTAAAGAAACAATATTAATTTTCAGATTGCAGTATTTACCGTATTCGCTAATTAATCTTAATCTCAAAGCGGTTTGGTTGAGCGAAAATCAGGCCCAACCGATGTTGACGTTTCAGACTGACATAGACGAAGATTCGAAGCAAGAGGTTCTTACTTGTTTTCTTTTACCTCAGCTAGATTGTCAAATAGATGCACATCATGGTAAGAAAATATTCATGTTCCTTCATTGCCACTTTTCAAAGTCGTTCATTACACTAGAAAATGTTTTTAATTTATATTTTTCCATTTTATAATAAAATTGTCCAATTATAGTCATAGAGAGTACATTTTAATATCAACAAGCAGCAATACTAAACAACCATTAAAAATGTATTGCAAATTTCTTACAGATAATGTAAAGCTGGGCATTTTATCAGGAATGAAGGATAAAGTGTCCAGAAATGAAATGAGAGAAATTAATAGTAGTGATGATGAAGGTTGGCAAGAAAAAGAGACGTCAAGGACTCATTCCGTTAAATTCACTGATGAGCTACCAGATAGCGATAAAGAGGTGAGAATGTATTTTTTAGAAGATCATCAAAAAAATCTTAGACTGAATCTAAGCTTAGAGAAATATGTGTTTAATTTTTTATTTTCCTAGGCGACAGCCCAACTTTACAATATAATTATTTATTTTGATTTTGATGGTATAAAATTTGTCACTTAAATATGTTTTTTATATTGCAGACGCCTTTCGTTCGACAGAATACTCCCCATCCGAAGGAGTTGAAGGCAAAAGCTCATAAGTTGTTCAGTAAAGGAAGAAATGACAGTTATTCTGCTTCCACGGATGAACAGGTATCTTTTTACTTTAATAACAAATAGCCCAATACGCGCACTTTATTAGCCTATTTTTCACTAAATTGAATCCCTGTTAAATTTTCCGAATAACCTGGCTAAAAATCGAAAAAATCCATTGCACACATTATTTTGATTAATTCTAAACAATAGATTGTGATAAAACTTTATATAAATAAACATTTGATTCAACAGGACGTCTCACAAACATTTGGACTGGATAAGATAGCAAATGAGTCCTCAGACTTGCTGACTGATGGTTCTGAACCTAATACACAGTTATCAAATCAAGATGTTCCCCAAACCGATTTCAATCCACCTTTATCACAGATTGCAAATACGGATGTTAATAAATCCTTGAGTATTAATTCTGAAATTCTTCAGCAACCTTTAGACAATCCATCAAGCGAGGTAATTTTTTATATTGTTATTATTATTATTATGTCTTTTAAAAGTTAATGATAAAAGTAAGTAGTTTATATTGTTCTAAAAATTAACTATACAAGGTAATTCAATCTGTATTTGCTTTTTTCTATTCTCTGTGTGATTAACTAAAAGAATTAATATTGATAAGACTTCAGAAATATCACAATCAGTTTTTAGATTAACTTGAAATTTGATGAAATTGTAGTAATAGATAAAAAAAATCATTGTGCCCAAGAATTTTTGAAAATTTTCAAAATTGTAAAAGTTATATCACATTGGAGTCATTTTCTATAAAGAAAGTTACTCGAAATTAAAATTTATTGGATATGCTCAAAACTTTAAAATTAAAGTTTATATAAGTAATATATTATTATTATAAAAAATATATAATATATTATATCTTGGTCGCTGATTACAATTATCTGAATTCAGATTCTAAAAACCAAAATGGCGGATCCGAAATGTCGGACCAAATATTTTAATGGACGAAGGAAGTTTGACATTTAAATTTTATATTTCTTGTTCTTCACATTCGACCCATTTTACATTTCAGAAAATAAATGCTTAAGAAAACAGCCATCCCGAAAACCCCGGGTAACCGATTTCAAGAGATTCCAATTGTTTTTTAAACTTGTCCGCCCTATTGGATTCGCCATTTTGAATTTTTGAAAACTAAGGTATTTTTTAGCATGCCATTCGATAGAGCGACTCTTGAGACATAAAAAATGTGTATTGATAATTTTTTCTTATTGCTTTGAGATATTGAAATATGACCTTAAACTTTGTTTACATATTTTTAACATTCCGTCCTTAATGAGTTAAGGCAGTGAAAAAAATATTAAATTTACAGTACCGTCCGCAATTGTCAGTCCACCCATTTTTAAAGGAATGACAAAAATTTTTTAACATAAAATTCATGAAAACTAAAATTTTTTTTGGTTTATATTTTGAAAGACGATAAAATTTTGAAAAGAATAAGACCTTACAGAAGTCATTTGGCCAAAATTTGTAGAAGATATTCCTAAAAATCGTCATTTTCAATGTTTTACAAAAATTTAAATAACTTCTAAAATAATAAACGCTTTTTAATAACCTTAGGCTTATTTTAAAGGTCTTTTTCTACGGAATAAGAATTACTTATAGGCATTAACCTGTCATTTTTAACTTGGAATAAGCATGACGTCAAAATTAGACAAAAAAATTGGAAAAATTTGAAATCAATTTTTTGTACTAAAAACTATTCTAGAACATATATAAAACATGATATGGTGTAGATTTTTCAAGAAAATTTAATAAAAATATATGTTTGAATTTCAAAAATTATTTTTCTTTTAATAATATTATTTCAAATTTTTTGAATTTTTTTGTCCAACTTTGACGTCATGCTTATTACAAGTTAAAAATTACAGGTTAATGCCTATAAGTAATTCTTATTCTGTAGAAAATGGTCTTTAAAATAAGCCTAAGATTATTAAAAAGCGTTCATTATTTTAGAAGTTATTCAAATTTTTGTAAAACATTGAAAATGACGATTTTTAAGAATATCTTCTACAAATTTTGGCCAAATGACTTCTGTAAGGTCTTATTCTTTTCAAAATTTTATCGTCTTTCAAAATATAAACCAAAAAAAATTTTACTTTTCATGAATTTTATGTTAAAAAATTTTTGTCATTCCTTTGAAAATGGGTGGACTGACAATTTCGGACGGTACTGTAGTTTTTAAAAATAAATAGGTAACAGGTCCTCATAGTTTAAACATTTCTGAGAAGAAATATCGTTTGCCCATTAAAAAATAATCATTTTTAGCGATTTTATAATAAATCTACAAAAAAACCGGGTCAGTTTTTTCCATATCAACAATTCTAGGGTGCGACAGCAAAAAAATTGTCAATTTAAAACCATGAAACATTTGTATGTTAAGGTTTTGGTACTAGATACAAAATGAAAAATGGATTACACTGAGAGTGTTTTAATTAAAATAATATTACTTTATTGGGATTTCTATATTTGCAATAAAACATAAGAATTTAGGAATAATCGAGGTATTGATTATTACTGTGTTATTATAACACAGGCCGACAAAATTTTAGGCCAACTCAGAACCAAGAACCGGAAGATACTTTCCTAAAGTTTCTTGACGAGCTGAATCCGAATCCGGCCTCAGAATTGACCCAGCACGTCAGGCTTTCGAGATATTCTAACCTAAAAGTAAAAAAATCGCGTTTTATCAACATTCAAAATGTCGGATTCAATATGGCGGACATTTTTTTCAAAAATAGCGAAAATTCAGAGCAAGATAAAGATTTTTTAAAAGTTTTAATATGAATTTTGAAGGGGAAGATTAGTACTTTCAAACACCGTATCGACGTTTTTGAAAAAAAATATCTCTCGATGTTACATGACCTCCAATAAGGTCAAAAACGCTATTTTTACACTTTTAGATTAGAATATCTCGAAAATCTGACGTGCTGTGTCAATTCGAGAAAATATCTTCCAGTTTTTGATTCTGAGATGGCCCAAAATTTTATCAGCCTGTGCAATAGTTCCTATTATTGGCAGTTTAAATTTACAAAACACTCCAATCGGTTATTTTAGAAACTATCCAATAGGGCCAACTCCAGATAGAAAATTGACTTATTTTTGTACATGAAAATTCGAAATTTATTTAAAAAGCAAGATTTTTAAGTGTCTGTGAATGTGAATTATAATTTTATGTGCCCTTAACCCCTTCGCTGTGCAGTAGAAATGAAGCTTTCGTGCCAAAAATGTGTAAATATTTTTTTTTAAATTAATAATACTAGGGTTATTATATGTTTTTGAGGTCGCTGAATCCGAATTTGTAGTCAAAATTTAAAAATTTCAAATGACGACCAACAAAATTTTTAATTTTTTTAATCTGGTTAAAAATACTTACTCGGGGGTTTTTGGAATCGCTGAAACCGAATCAGTAGTGAAAAATAAAAAATTAAAAATGACGGCTCCATTACTTATTTATTGGAGACTTATAAAATAAATAATGCAATGGGTAAAATAATAATCTTAAAAATTTATAATAATTTTCAATATTAAAAATAACGGTTACAATAATGCGAAAAAACATCGATATGCACACTGATTTTGACAATTTAAAATGAGTTTATTAGTTAATTATTAATTTAATAATAATTATATTTTTAAAATTATTTTCATTATTTTATTTTCCAATTTACACGAAACATTTCTTTTATACTTGATTTTAAAGTCGCCATTTATAATTTTTGAATTTTCACCAAATAATCGGAATCAGTAATCCGAATGAACCCCGAGTATGTCTTTTCGGACAGATTAGTTTTTAAAATTCATTTTGTTGTCATTTTGAAAAAAATTTTTAAATTTTGACTACTAATTTAGATTCAGCGACCCCGAAAACCCCCGGGTAAGCATTTTTAGACAATTTAGTTAAATTAAAAATATTTTGGCCGCTATTTTGAATTTAAAAATTTTGACCACAAATTCGGATTCAGCGACCCCAAAAACATAAATTAGCTTTTTCAGCTAAATTAACTAACTTTAAAATTTTGTTAGTCGACATTTTGGATTTTTCAATTTTGAGTATAAATTTGAATTCAGCGACAGTGAAGGGGTTAAAGCGCATTTCATAAACCATCCTTAAACCACACAAATGCGTGTGTTTGACACCCATGTGCTACAAAGTGTGTTCTGTAAACTTAAATTGGATATGGGTAAGACTCCGTCAGGAAAATTACAATTTGCATGGGGTCTTCGGATTATTCTGTAATTTGGTGAAGTTGTTATATTTGATAACAAAAATAAGTGTACCAAAGGATTTTTAAAAATTTTCAAAATTGTAAAAGTTACGCCATTTTGAATTTTTTTATAAGATTTTTTTCAAATGTGAATATTTCCGAAACAATTTAACGGATTTTAATAAAATTTAAATATGTTATAGTTAAAATCATGTCCTTTCAGAATTTTTCAAAAGGAAAAAAAAATTTTTGTTTTATTCAAAAAAAGTAAAAAAAAATTTTTTAAATCGATTTATTAAGCACGGGACCGATTTTTGAGTATTTTTCGATATATAATAAAATATTCCTTATAATTTCACCTTTCATTTACAAAAAAGAAACACAAAGTCTTTCCGTGTAGTTATATAATTATTAATAACAATGATAATTGTTAACTGACAAATCATTTTTTTACAAAATAGACATACATTACTTAAATAAACATAAATTTGTCTACAAAAAAACAATTTAAATAAAAAGACCAAAGTTATCTATTTGTTAATTTAAATTGTTTTTTTTAACAATTTAAATAAACTGTATTATGCATTATTATTTGTCAGGTGGTCAGACTAGACTAATTTAAATTGATTTCGATCTTGTGCAATGGAAAAATAAAAAATAAACAGTATTTTTTACAAAAATATTTTAAATTGTTAACTTTGAATAACAAAAAAATAAATAAACAATTAAAAATTCAAAAATCGGTTTAAAGGGATCTCTTAGAAATTTTATCCCCTTTCATTTAAGACCAAGAACTTCAAAATCCAATATAATTTGTAGGCTCTAGACAATTTTGAAGAGTAAAGTGTAAAAACTCCCACTGTGAGGCGTCCCGGGTAAAAGATACTGCGCTGGCACTGAAACGTGGTCGCGCCTCCACAAAAATTGCAATATCTCGAAAACTATTAAAGTCTCCATCGTTTTCTTTTTTTTAAATGAAAGGTGAAATGATAAGGAATATTTTATTATATATCGAAAAATACTCAAAAATCGGTTCCGTGCTTAATAAATCGATTCAAAAAATTTTTTTTTACTTTTTTTTGAAAAAAACAAAAATTTTTTTTTTCTTTTGAAAAATTCTGAAAGGACATGGTTTTAACTATAACATATTTAAATTTTATTAAAATCCGTTTAATTGTTTCGGAAATATTCACATTTGAAAAAAATCTTATAAAAAAATTCAAAATGGCGTAACTTTTA